GGAAATCCCTCCGCGCAGAGAGAGACGCACCGAGTGACCCGAGTAAAGTCTGCGCTGATTTGGATGTTGTGGCTGCAGGGGCGCTTTCTCTCGTCCTCTTAACCCCACCGCCCCCCGTCAGCCGCCCCTCAGTTGGGGGGGGGGGGGGGGGGGGGGGCTGAGACGCCTCGCGGTCACGTGACTCTGTGCGATCAGGGCTCTCCGCCGCTCCTCGGGCCAGAGCGCGAGGCGAGCGATGCTGATGAGGCTGAGATGAGAGATGCGATCTTATAGCCGCTCCTCCGGCGCGCCGAGACAAAAGTTATGGCCCAGTCATCCTGGGGAGACGAGAAGACAAGAAGGTCCTACAGCCCTTCATCTCCGACAAGTCCCGCACTCCTGACGCTCTCAGAGAGGCGCACGCGCAGGCACGGCGCGAGACGTCCCCTCAGACCATCTGTCAGGTCCGAGTGACTGAAACCTGGCTCAGAGGAGACGGGGGGAGAACTCGCAGGTACGTTTAAGCTCCTCTCGTGGAGATTTGCTGCAGCCTTCAACTCAAACCGCTCCTTTCTGTCAACTTTTTAAAAAGTTATTTTTGTTGTTAAAAACTCACTTCGGATTATTTTTTCTTTTAAAGCGTTTTTTTTTTTCTTTTCAGTTTGCATCTGTCTGAACACCCCCCTCCCTCCTCCCCCCACCGGCACTGTTGAATTGAGCAAAGAGGCGCAATGCATCAGTCCTGCCAAGTGGAGAGAAGTGTCCCACAGCAAGGCACGGTAAGACCACCCTGTTCCCCCCTCTTCTACACAATAATGCGGTTCTGTGTTTGCCCCTGAGGACTAAGCCTGCAGCTTACATTTAAACACCCCTTTTAGACATAATCTTTAAAAAAAAATATGTATAGGTTTTCTCAAAGCTCCATATAGCACTGAGGTGGAGGGAGGGAGGAATCATGTAAAACAAAAAAGTTTCTTTACAGAAAAGAATGAGTTCAGCTTGCAAAGTTAGATTTTAGTAAAGAAATAATGGAGCTCATTAGGTAATCTACTCAGAAGTAGGTTACTGGCCAGGTCAGAACATGCCGGCATTCTGCTAATTTTACAGTGTCAGTAGATAAATGTTCATTTTTTATTTTTTGACTTTGGAATGTGCCCACCGGCTTCATAAAAGTGGCCTGTGTGGATTCAGATCCTCTTGTTCACCGCAGCTGGTCAGTCTGTTTCACCGACTTTAAATGTTGCAGCCTGCACTCAGATTACTGCAGGTACATTTCACAAACACAAAAATGACAATATAAAACAATTCTTGCATACTAGAAGCTGTATATGATGGATGTTCAGTGACAACAGGCAGATTTGATTAAAATAAAGTCTCCATCCCTGTTTGTTTCAGACTTTAACCCGGTGATTGCTCTGCAGTATCAGTGTGCAACTGTTTAGAATGTGTGCTATTTGTTTGACCCACTTTTCCCAACAGGTTGCTTTATCAAGAAGCTGATTTTCTTGCCTTTAGGTCTCGAAGCCCTTTCAGAACCACCCATATAAAGAGCAAACTCTTTCAAAATTCCATTTATGTGGTAGAGTTTGTTGAGAGCTTGTGCAGAGCTTGGTCATTCATCAAAATGGAAAAAAAAAATCACAATCTTCTGAATGGTTTTATAAGATTTTTTTACATGTGTGGGTCACACTCTAAGATAAAATAAAACCTTTTCTTAAAGTTTAAAAACATGTTTAACAGGTGTGTCAAGATTTTGTGGGCGGATACGGGAGGAGACAATAAGTGCCTTTAGTATTTACTCTTTTAATGTCAAGATGTGCTGAGTTGATGCCAGCTGTTGTGAAACATATAATAGCTTTTCAAAGGTTTGTGTAACTGTGTCTGAGGCGGCTTAGATGTTCACTGATGTGAGACAAACGTCATCTGTCCAAGAATTCCTCATGTCAAACATTTTGATATTAATAGAACACCAAACACGTTGTTAGCTGCAGATAATTTGTTGTTTACTGGTTTATCATGAGTAATGCTGTTTATTTCTTAAGTTCATTCGTTAAGCGATTTATTTTCATCATTGTGTTCTCTCCTTGTAGGTTTAAAGCTGATCTGGATGCAGCCATAGTTCCAAGTGCTCTTCACCCGCCCTGAGAATGTCACTCAGAAAATAAGACTTCTGAGTTCTCTCCGCCCCCTCAGTGCCTCCAGGCATACCATAAAGACAGCACTTCAGGTAAACACCCAAATATTCACAGACAGGAGAAACAAAACCTGAAGCTCTTAAGTTTGACAAGCAAGTTCTTGTCTGTGCACAAGTAATCGCACAGAGCATCTGAGTGAGGGCTCCTGACAGTGGTTTGTACTCTTTTCATTATTATTTTATTACAGTTTATGAAATATCAAATATTTGTCACAGGAGGCTACATTTTACGCGTTACCCTGAGCTTTAAATGGCAGAACATTTTATTTCTTCGATGTGTTTGTGCAATGTGTAGATCACAGAAATAGTTTGCACACAGAATGATGATGGTCTTACAGCTTTGAATTTAATCCAGGACATTTGTTGCTGTTTGTCCTTCTGTTTGATAGAGTTTGTAGAATCCAAGCTAGGATTACAGACTGATTAGCCTGGTTTAAACCAGACTCTGTCCTTCACTTTGCTTCGTACAAGGATCTGGACTTGATGCATAGAGAATTGATTTCTTGCAGGAGGCGTGGCCTCTGCTGAAGTTTAAAATGATTGGATCAGTTGGCTGCGACGTCTGTCGCTGTGAAGGGAGCTAAGCTAAGAAGCTAACTGGAAATTGCATGTGCTGTAAACAACCCTACTGAGAGGAGAAATATACCGAGCCAAACGAGACGACTGTAAATGAGAGCTGCTGCTTTGTCAGACAAATTTATTTAATTTGGAAGCCTTATCAACATCGTTCATCGTTCAGTCGTTCAAAGCTCCTCCTTCTGTTCTCTGATTGGCCCAGGTAAAATAAACTATAAGCAGACACTGCACAGAAAATTGACGTTCTGTTCTCTGATTGGCCCGGCTAAAAATCTGCCARHRAAATCCATCTCAATGGGAGAAGTCCCAGACAAGGAAACTAGAATTGAGCGGAGCTGCGTAGGAAGGCAAGGGCCAGGCTACAGACTGATGAGCACATATTCATTTAATAAATGAAGGTTCACATTGTTCTGCTTCAGAGAAAAATGATTGTATCTTAGTAAAAATCATTTTACCGTAGAAAGCACAGAGAAATTTTCTCATATGTTAAAAAAAGAGGCGTTAAGCTGTTGAATGTTCTCATCAAATTTTTGCAGCTGCAGTGAGGTGTGGCCTCTTGTCCTGTAGGCCTTATTATAGTTATTTTTTGGGGTGGAGAGAGGGACGTAAATGAGCCAGTGGTACACATCTTTGAGTGTCGAAAGTAAGCAAACCTTTGCCTCCAGTACTTCACATGAACCCCTTGTGCAGCAGCAACTGCAGCTAAAGGTAAACTATTGATCAGCTCTGAGGAACTTTAGCCTTTTTCTGTGCAGAATATCTCCAGCTCCTTCCATGAACGACTCACTTCAGGACCTTTTTGTTTTCTACTTGTCCATTGCATTAGAATAAGTTTAACCTCGAAGCTGTGAAAATGTTCACACGTGGTGTCGTACAGCTGGTTTTTCTGTTTCTGCCATGTCAGCGGTTTGTGCTCAGAGGAAAATAGAAAAACTCAAATATAGCATTTGACTGAGAGGAATAAAAAAACGTGTTTATAGATGAATCCATGAGTAAAAATCCTTGCTTTCCCTTAAGTGTATTTTTATGTTAAAATGAGGTGTGTCATTTGGCATCCTCTTTTCCATCTAAAGTCACTGAAACATAATAAATTAAATAAATAAACTCTAATAAACTAAACCAAATTTAGCTCATTAGTAACTTTATCACAGCTGTTTTGCAGTACATGTATACAATAATTTTTTGGTCAGACTGTAATCAGTTCAGCCATGGGCGTGGAAGTGCCGGGGAAAGTGGACCTCAGTACCCAGGGCTCAAGGAGGGAGAGGGGCCCATGGAAATCCTGATTTTTTATTTATTTTTTTCCCAAATGAAATGGACCCTTCAACTAATTGGTGTAGTAATTTATTTCAAATATATTGATAAAATAATCTGAGAGAATGAACTTTATTTTACTGTCCACCCAACATATTAGACATTCTGGGGTACCCCTCTTGGAGGCGCAAAATGGTTTAGTCCGCCCGACAGCAACCAGGAAGTGTGTAACCCAGACGCAGCTGAATGGGCTGAGGGCAGACCTGGACAGACTATTGGGGAACCAGGAAGTTTCCCATGGTCTTCCTGCTGACTGGCTGTTTAAAAGCTCCTGTCGCTGTAGAACTTTTAAATAAACAATTTGGTGTGGTCAATACGCCTCGTCAGAGCTGCTGCATGTCCCGTAGTCCGATGCCCGCCCCCCTCCTCTGGCTCACTGAGACGCACACACAGTGCAGACACACAATGTTGTGATGAATTCTCAGTACTCCTCCAATTTTTGATCAAACTGTATTCTTTACAAAGAACCAGAAATAAGTCCACAGGACAGCTGTTTTTCTTATGAAAAGTTAGCTTGCTGTTATAGTCACATGTTACATGTCACATGCTGATGTTAGTGATCAATTTTAGTGATAGCATTTAATCCATTATTGAGTTGTTTTTAATCAGTTAAACTGTAGTTTAATCCTAAGATTGAGTCCAAGTCCACTCTGATATTTATTGATTATAATTTACATTCATAAATCACCAAATATTTCTGTTCTTTAGTCTACCTGCTTCAGTACCTGTATATCCTAATACAATTAATTTCCCTCTGAAAAAGTAAAGCATTTTTTAATTGAATTGAATATAGTAAAGCTTATAAATATTATAGTAGTACATTTTTATTATCTTAGCAAGAATAAATTAATCACATTAAAAAAGTTTGTTTCTTGGAGTTTCTGTATTTTCTGCATAAAAACAGAGCTTCATGCTTAGAAAACCTTTCCTTTTTAACAGTGAAATGATGCAAAGAACAAATAGTGATCTGGTATTTATTCATGTCATTTCATGATATTTTCTGGAGTTTTTAAAGCGGACTGACTTCAGGTGGCACCTTGGCAGTAAAATACCTAATACTTAAACTATCTCTAAGAGCTGGATACAGAGAGTCGGGGGTAGCAGGTAGGACAGATTGTCTCAGATAGGACAGAGTGTCTCAGGACAGATTGTCTCAGATAGGACAGAGTGTCTCAGGACAGATTGTCTCAGATAGGACAGAGTGTCTCAGGACAGATTGTCTCAGATAGGACAGTGTGTCTCAGGTAAGAGATGAGGTGATGAGCAGGTGTGAAGGAAATATAAAATGTTATTTTGAGTAGCCTACATTCTAGTCAGCTGTGTGAACTTAATGTAATAAATTACTGATCTAAAGACATAATTTACAGCATGATTAATGGCTTTATTTTACTTTTGACAAATATAAAAGTGATAGGCTTATTACTTTCATTTCTAGGAAGTTGTAGAAATTAGTTTTCATAGTTCAGATTTTCCTGGTTAAATAAACGTCAGTAAATAAATCTGTCAATCCAACCATCATTAGCTTTCTAATCAGTTCCAAACATCCATGTATCACTTGTTCCTAATTTACATGCAGGTTGGTGAAACTGACACAAGTTATTTGTACGTCACCATTCTTTGACACAGTGTTATTTTATGTTGTGAAGAAAGCTGCATGATGTCATGTCAGTTATGAGTGGGCCTGTCATCAAATCAGAAAAAAGTCAAACACTGCCCTAAATTCACCGTTGGTGGTTATAATTACACCTGTTCATTGGATAAAGTTATCAATGTTTTTAGTTTGAAACATGCAGTTGTGTGTCATCATTGTTTGGCACAATATGTTGTATTATAAATAAGATTAAATTAATAATAAACAAAATAAATGCAAAAACCTTCTCTAAGCCTGTTTGAGATAAATTATCACATTAATTTAATTCTCTGAGCCATAAGAGAGTTTAAAAACAGGACGATGCAACTAGTTTACTGAAGAATTTGTCTCTAGTTGTCTCTAATTAATTCTGTGTGTAAGTAAAAGTATTTTAACAACCTGTTAAAATACATTAGAAATCAGGAAATAGCTTCTACTTTATTTAAAAATTTCTGGGGGAGGACCCCCAGACCCCCCTCCAGTGTGTCCTTTACACACATTACAGGCCTTCTGATGCCCTGTTAGAGAGGATAAACACACCTGTAGAGCTCCACCTGTGTGTCTCTGTATGAAACTATGGCTGATTATCAAACTGTATTCTTAGTGACTTTAAAGGACTGATACACTACATGGTTTAATAAGGGTGAACATAATCTCAGTTAATATGGTTTCACTATTATTGCATCACAAAAGAAACATTGGGTGTTCAGTTTATGATGTGTGCAGACAGTTAAACTGAGCACGTCATGTACCAAATTGTCTAAAGTTCAAGAATAAATGTTTTTAAATCAAAATTTGCTCAAGTGTCATGGATCACAACATTAGTACATAAACCAGATGTAGCAAAATGTTTTAGGTATTTGAACACAGGTGGCCAAATGCATCACTTCAACTGGTGAATGAAAGAACCACTCATCAATATAATCTGACCTGATTGTAGCTTAAAACCCTATTTGTGCCTCTTTATTTAAAAGAATATCCCCCTTTTTTTCTTATGCACCTCGTGCTCTGGCATGGATAGAGGCCCACTGACATCGAGAGTGTACAGGGCCCAGAATTTGGTGGAGTTCAGCCCTCGGAGCTTGTGTGCGCACCGACAGGATAACCTTTAAGTTGATGTTGAAACTTTGACTTTCAGCTTTGTGACTCCTGTTGAGCCAGAGCCAAAACCTTTGGCCGTACTTCTTCTATCTTGCTTGATTAGTGTGATGTCTGCAGTCTGTAGATGACGATAAACCAAATCAATTACTCTGGAGTTTCAACTGTTTTAGTCAGTGGTCACTATCAGGCAGGTTTAGGGGGAAACTGCCATAACTGCATATAAAAACTGTCATTTTGTTCTCTTTTGAGAGAAAAAAATTCTTACTAAAAGACCATAAATTGCATACATGTCAAGGTGTACAGATATTCCGTACACCTTGACATGGATTTTCCCCCATTTTTACAGGTATGGGGCAATCTCACAGATTTTTTTTAAACCCAGCTTCAAATTTATTTTACATCTCAGAGTCTG